AGGTAAACAAAGCTGGTATTTTAGTGAAGCTGACAGTAGTTTTCTTAGTATGGAAGTGTAAGTATCTGCTGTTTGTCATCTCATTGGCTGTTTCTGTATTTAGGAGTATGTGAAGCCTGTGCTGGTCCAGGCCGGGGGGGCAGTGGTCCAGCCTGACAAAGAGGGAAGTGACAGCATGAGGCATGTGGCCACCAGTGTCCTCCATCACTGTGTGTCTGTGTCTCTAGCCTTGCTCTCCCCCTTCATGCCCTTCATCACTGAGGAGCTGTGGCAGAGACTCCAGCCATTCAGACCTGGAGCTGCGTCCCAGACCAGCTTGTCCTTACAGCCATACCCTTGCTCCTCTCAGTTGGTAGGACCAAATCCATCAAACCTCCTCATCCACATTAGGAAACAAACAGAAAACAAATATTCACTCTCATGTTTTTCTAACCTATATTTGATATCTTTAACCTTTTGCATTTTTTACAGTGGCTAAGATACAATTCTTAGTACTGGATAGAAATAAAATAAATACTTTATCGTCTACCTTAAAATCAAATTGATTGATAAAAAGTTGGCATCACAAGGAGAGACTGTCTCTTTACTGATTAAAATATTTTCTGGCAATAGGGGCATAAAAGAGATGTTGTTTTCGATTATGTTTTTCTTGCACTGGGGACTTTGTATCTTTGCCTCAGGGGGAGGGGCTGGAGTAGTGATGTAGCTGTGGTCGATTTTGCTACTTAAGCGTTGTACACATCTAGAAAGCCACAGGTCGCGGACAATGTCACACCCCCAGAATTCTCTGTCAGCACATTTATCAGCTTCATGCTGCCAATCTGCTGTTCCACTACATTCCAATAGTCATGTTCATGAAAGCGGTTTAACACAAATTTTACTTGTAACATGATGCATTATCGTGCTAGAAGTAGAGACTGTGGTCATAAAGGGATGAATGTGGCCAGGATGATTTCTTTCATCAACAAGGTGTTTACATCTGCAGAAATGCTGATAATAGGGATTTTGTTTTTGGCTTCACTGAGTCAGACATTGTTGATTAGATAAATACATGAATAAGCAGGTGTACAAGTGTTCCTAATAAAGTGTTGATATACTATCCTTCCCTTTCAGTAAATTTGAAGTTATTACTCTGCTAGTTTCCTCTTGTTTACATGACCATGCTCATTTTCTTGTGTTTAGCTGATGTGTTCTTTTTATTCACCCTCTCCATCCTCCCAGGCACACTGGTATTTCCCTGAAGAGGAAAGGGATTTTCTGCTGATTCAGGAAGTGATCCGAACAGCCCGCTCACTACGAGCTCAGTGTGGCATGACCAAAGATAAACCTGTCAGTAAGTTATTTAACAGTTAAAAACAATTATTTAAAAAATTACACTTATCTGATGCATTCTCAAAGATTGGTATATATACATTCTTTAATGTTTTGATCAAATAAACAAAAATGATAAAGGAACAGATGTGTGAATTGCTTCTCTTCATGTTGCTTCTATGTTGTGTGTTTCAGTGTGGGCAGTGTGTTCACCCAGTCAGGCCCAAGTCCTCCTTCACTTTGGGTCAGCTGTTTCGACTTTAAGCCGGACCTCGTGCCTCCATATCTACTGTCCTCAGGGATCAGACAACCTCCACGCCGTTCCTCCACCTGAAGGAAGCCTCATTGGTGTGGTGGACCACTCATGTCAGCTACACCTTCACGTTCAGGTGTGTGCCCACCGTTCCTTGTGTTACAGTCAGGCATACACCTCCACATTTGTGTGGTTCCAGCTTCCTAAATGTGAACATATACCACTTATTGTTAATATCTCTGCATCTTTGGTATGTGTGACAGAACTTAATTACTGACTTTCTAAAGTTATTTCAAACTTTACTTTGTGATCTGTAGACATCTGCTGCCGCTGGATGAGTTAATATTACTGAGGTTCAATGACAAACTCTTTGAATCAGAATACATAAAACTGTTTGCAAGTGATTGTTTTCTACACTTCAGTGATAATGCTAATGACTTTTTGCTAATGACTGTTAGCATTGGAACCCCCTATGGCATTGTCCAATGTGATTTTTAACATTATACATTGTCATATGTCAAGTTGACTGTTCAATCATCTTAGCCTTAACAATGAGTCCCTAGATCTTTTCGTCTTGCCATCTTTATACTATATCACAATCAACTGTGCCTGCTCAGCATTTGTATTCATGCCACAGAGAAACCAGAGAACAGAATTATCAATTGTAGCATGTAGTATACCAAGGAAGCATCTCATGAGGATCATATTTCTTATTCAAAACAGCACTTTTCTTGGGAGGTAAATGGCAAACACATTTGTGCATGATGATTGACATAAGCATGAAAGCATAACCCTGCTATAATTACTAGAAATTATGAAATGGACTGCAGGTTGACTTTGCTATGTGCTGCCTTACTCAAAAGCAAAATGGAAACTCCAATGACATGACACGGAATGAAGCATCCACGTTGATGCACATCAGTATGCTGGTTTGTTCCACTGTTTCAAGTTTTCAACGTGTGTGGATGTTGATGAGTAACATATAGTATCGTATGGTTTCCTCTATCAGAGTGGAGTGAACGTAGAGAAACAGATCCTGCAGCTCTCCCAGCGCAGAGACAAGCTTGTTCCAAAGTTGAAGGAAATTCTCTGCAAAGTCCAATCTCCACACTTCCTGACCAAGGTTCCTGCTCATGTCAGGCAGAAGATGGACCATAAGGTGAGCACTGGGCAGTCAGATGCAGGGAATCTTCTATGGGTAATATGTAGTTTGTCATCATCGTGTATTGCGCTGCTTTTTACACAATGTGGCGCTGGAGAACAAGCACCAAAACAGCATTATATCCCTTTTTATCAAGTGACGAACAGTCTGTGAACTGTGATTAACATTTTATGTAAACCAAAGGATGATTGTCAAACAATGATTTATTCCTGTTGCCAGTAGGTAGCGTGAAGAAATGAAAATTAAGCACGTTGGTCCCTCAGTAAGTGGGGCCAGCTGATAACATCTAAATGAAAGGACCTCACATAATCTAACAGGGACTGCCCGATTTTTGAAAATTATGTTAGAGCCCCAGAGGGAGTGTTTGATTTTCTACAATTTCTTAAAGGATTTGGCATCTAATGGTATTGAGATGAGGAATGAGGGCTCTACCAATGCATCAGAATGACTCGCTTCATTAGGAATGTGAGAATGTTTAGTATTTTACTGTAGTTTCACACTATGATGTTGTCTAATTATATACTAGCAAGCATATGCAATGTGAAGAAAAGCTACTGTGATAAACATTGTAGCTCGTCTTTGTGTTCAGATGTCAGCCTTGCAGCAGGAACTGAAAACCATTGAGGACCAGCTGAAGATGCTGCAAGAGAATCAAACAGAATAACTGCAGCCGGCAGGTGTTACGCTGTGAACTACTGGACGTCAGAAGTGATGAACTTGAATTGTTCATAATGTTGTCTGAACTTGATATCTCTACTCTGCTTGAGACATTGTTTCATATAATTAAAATGTTGTTCATATAATGAACCTAATCTCACTGTCTAACTATGAAAGTGCAGTATTTCACCATATTACCTAAATGTGTAAACACAGCTGAATGCAGCAATTCAAGGTTCGAGCCTTTTGCACTCAACAGAAGGAAGTAGCAGTCAGAGGGTTTACAGCTTCACAAACTTGAGCACTTTGCATAGTTTAATTCTGTTTAGGTTGGGATGCAAAATTACACAACATCCATCAATTGAAATTGTTTCCATCAGGACTTATTGAATGCATACTCATGACTTTTCCTATGTTTGATCACACTAAATAATGATGATGATTCTCAGTCATCCAGGTCATGGTATATCCACGTGGTAGAAAACAGGTCAACTAGACCTTTCACCTCTCATCCAAGAGGCTTCTTCAGTTTTAACAGACTGCTGGGAGTCCCAGGTATTTAACTTGTAGGGTTGTTAGCAGTCGTTGAGGTTACCTGAGATGCTGGACCCTCCCTGCTGTTGGTTTCATTGTGGGTCCTTGAGTGTCATTGACCCACAGGCCCCCTGTGAGTCATGTGTCCTCAGGTGTGCTTTGTAGTGAAACTTCCTGGGGATAGAAGTCAAGACTGTTGTATGTGGCTGATAGGTAGTGTCTTAAACCTCCTCCTCTGTTCAGACATTCTTTCTTTCATCTTTTCGTCCTCTTTCAAACCATTTGTCGTCAGGGCCAAAATGTGGACATTGTTGTCTTCAAATGAATGTCCCTTGTCCTCTAGATGTAGGTGGACTGCTGAGCCCTGACCTGAGGACCTGGCTCTCCTGTGCCATGTGAGTTTTTTCCCCCAATGTACAGATCTGTGCATTCCTCATTACATCCAACTGCATATACTGCAGGCCATCTGCTTGTCTGGATGTTTTGTCACACTAAACAAGTAACTAAGTAGATAAGCAATCATTCACTCATTACTACACTGTGAGGCCATATGGGACATATGGTGTATATACACAGGAAAGGTGACATTGGGATTTCGGCCCAGGTCGGTTCAACTCGGCCCCACAGGAGTCACCAACCCGGAAGTGTAGTTGTGTGTAGTCAAATGAAAAATGCCGTCACCAGAGCAGACAGTGGTGGATCCAGCTGGAGTGTGAGAACCTGAGACAGGAAAGGGCTCAGCACGAAGTGTCTGAATACACATGCCGGTGGCAGTGAACGGTCTGTAACGGAGCACATACGGTAGCCTGCTCTCACCAGCAGACACTGGGGATGGATAAACGAGCAGAGCTGGGGGGGATAATGTGAACCAGAGGTGGAGGTTCGGGCAGCAGTGGAGCCGCTGTGCACCCACAGATATGTGCTGTGATTGTGACACCGAGGGGAATGTAAGGGTGGCTCCAGCAGCTAACGTGTGCTAGCTAGTCAGCTAGCCGGTGAGTGCTGCAGCTCGGTGCAAGTCTCGTGTTCCTTCCACGATGCAAGCAGCACCGTGTCGTTCACGCCGTCATGTGAGAGGTGAGTGACACCGGGTTCAGATGCGACATCCATGTCTTTCCTCTGCACGGACCATGAATGGGAAACCCTTCACTTCTGCTCCTCGGCGCTAGCTAGCTAGTCAACCGTATGTTAGCAGGAGGGCTTAGCTTGCTATTAACACGCTTCAGTCCCCGGTGCTGAGATATAGTTGCATAGATGACCAAACACTGGCTCTGATCGTGCTGCTTTTAACACCGTGGGACATACTGTGCTTTGACTTAGCTGTCGGTAGTTTCGTGGCAGCTAGCATGATACCTTCAAAAAAGAACGTGAAGCGTAACAGCTGGGGCTCATCTCAATGGACCGGACCCTTGCGGAGTGCGATGTGGACACTCGCATGAGCCGAAAGTAAACAGTGTTCAGTGTTAGCAGACAAGAGGCGTCGCCTCTCAGCCCGAGTTACCACAGTGTCTCCACAGTGTAGTCACGTGAAGCCTGAGCCGGATGGTACAGTGCCTCAGTCGGTCTGTGCCGCAGGCTCCTCGGTGAGATCCTACCAGTCAGCTCCACGTTGTCTGACGGAGGGAGGAGGGGGGTCAAGAAGAATAGAGTTCCAGCTGGTACAGTTTGTAAGAAGAGCAACAGTTCCCTCTTCCTGTTCCGCTATCAGCTCCTGTTGTCTGCTAGGGAGTCTCAACTCCAGGACTGGAGGGTAGAGCAGACGTATCTGTAGACCGATCCCAGTTCAGGTATGGTTAGTTTTATTCTTCCTATCAACATTTCTGTAGACGTCTGTTTCCTTCTGTCCCTGACTCTTGCAGGCTCACTTTAAGAAGTATGTATGTAAACCATGTCTCGGTTTCTTTCCTAAATCATATTTATACTTTAGTAAATCAGACGATTGTTTGTTGTCCAACTTTATTGTGTCTGCTCCTAGTTTTTTTAAAGGTGAGGTCAGAATCTTGGATTTCCATTATGCCACATGTGTTCATGTTGCTTCTGTCTTGTCAAGAGGATCATTTCTCTCTATAAACCTTTCAAAAAAGACCAGCAGCTTCTACACTCAGTTATCAGTGTATTAAGTACTCACTGAAAACCATTGCAGCCTTATAGCACAGACCTGCAAGAAATCCCTTTCTCTGAAAAATAGCAATACAAATGTCCACAGTCTTGTATTGCAATACACCCCCTGCGACTGTAAATTATGTCATTATACATCTATTTAAAGTTAGTTGAAGCTGTTAATATCCCACCCTTTTTCCAGCTGCATGAGTCATGTGACATTGTTGGTCCTCATATGACAGTCGAGAACTGTGAGACAAATAAAGGCATTATTTCACTTCAGCTTTTGGAAACGGAAAGGACTTTTTGCGACATATTATATACAAAATGATTCTTTTTTTAAAGATATAACATAATCTACAGAATTATTAATCATCCTAATAATGGATGGTAAATTATTTGACCTGGTGTGATCGTACGTTAACCCCTTTTTAAAAAGAACAAGTGTTGAGAAAGATGATGAAAAGAACAGGGACTTTCAAAGTTGTGCATTAGGTGCCTTAGTCTTGAGAGATCTGATCATCTAACCTTTTTAAGATGCAACAAGATTTTTTAAAATAAATTAAACTAAGTGAAAGTCAGAACATTTGTTGTATTTGTAAAAATGAATGATTAAATTACTGATTTATTTATCAATTGACAGTTAGTCAATTTATTTTATATACATAAATAACATAAAATTGCAATAGCCAATGAAATAAAACATCTTAATCCAGCTAACCCTAACCCATGCACAAGCATTTATGATTCATTATTATTATTTATTTAATATCATATTGAACATCGCTAACAATGATTCTGAAACGGTGCCATATGACCACATCACAGACTAACACGAAGAAAAGGCAAGTGTCTGTAATGACTTCAAGTGCCAGATACAAAGAGTTTGGCAAATCATCTAAAACTGTAAAAGCTTTGTTGCCTTGAAACTGCTAAAATGCTGCATGCTAACTTAGTGCAACACTGAAGTGTGATTATTGTCCTGGTTTCTCTTATATGCTGTTGTGTTCTTGATCTGGATTCCATTTGGAACTATACTACCTGTACACAGTCATATATAGATTCTCACCACACCCAACATGGGACTTCTCTTTCTACTTGATAAACTGATGGAGAAAAATCCTATCCAATCCTAATCACAGCATCTGCTACCTGTAGCCAAAATCCATTCTTACAAGATTATTGTCAGCCTATATTTATCAGCACTAATTGGTTTAGGCTTTTCTAATTCTGAGGAGATCCTGTTGAACAATCAGTGGGACATCCTTCACTCACTCACTTCTTTCATCCCTGCATCAATATACAACACCAAAGTAAACCTCTCCTGTCACATACACACTGTTGACACAGGGCACAGTAGTTTTATTTGACTGCCGAGCTCAGTTTAAGCAACTGTTGTCCTGGAGCCTATTTGTTTATGGGAAGATGGACTTTGACTGCACGGCATAATCTCAGGTATTGGCAGACATTTAAATAGAGCTAATTTAAAGGGTCAGTTTAGTGAAATTTCAAAAAGGTTTCTGACCTCCCTCTTGTGATATCTAGAGCCATTTTCAGAAACATGAACTTCAGAAAATGTCTCCACCCAATTTTCAAATTTTGCCTGTGATATACAGTATAATGGATGCTGCAGGAGATTGTCTGGGTCAGTCGTGTTCTCAACGACAGGAAAATGTCAGGCGAGGGCGACATGGGTGGAACATGCAGGAGGCAGGACACAAAGTTAAAATTCCCCTATGGAAATTGCATTTATTGTTTACAGCATTTTTACACCAGCACTGGCCTATATCACCAAAATCGCATTCTCTTCAAGATGACATCTTGGTCAGTGTCCTCTGTGTGTATGCCAGCTATTTTTGGTTCCAAGATATTTGTATTATTTTAGTTTTTTTTTGTTTTATATCTGTTGCATGTCAGAAACATTATCAAACTTGCTGACTTGTGACTTCGGGGCATTTTCCTGCTGTGTTCTAACATGCACTTTCTCATGACATGGGGGCTGGCAGGAAAAAGGTCCGGGAGATGTCCAGAGCAATTAATTAATATGTGCATTCTTACATACAGCCTTTCCGGAAAGTTTCAGTGCAGGTCTGAAAGCATTTTAGGTCAATCTGATTTTGACATGTGTCTCTGAAATGCCTTTGTGTTTTTGTAATGATTCCGCTTTGAATGATTTTTGGGGTTTCGTGCAGTTTGACTCCTTCGCTCTTCAACAACTAGCCGAATTAGAATGTACAGGAGCTACAAGGGACAGATCAGATGCCATCAAGATTTGCATATGATACTTGGATATAATGCTTTTGCTCACTGAGGGATTAGTGATGAAGCCAGAGTTAGTAGAAACTGTAAGTAGCAGATAGCAAGTCTTTGAATAGCTTGTCAAGCTATGATGAATACAGTTTGATGCTGGTTATGTGATGCCCATTACAGCTTTAGTTACGGTGGATTTTATGGTTTTGAGCTGATGGCAGATATGAATTGGACATGGAACCACCAAGTTGGCCAGAGTTTGTTCTAGTCTGGGACAGTAGGCTTTCAAAGTTTGGAGACGTTATCACACAGCACGCAATGTTTAAGGACACTTATTGTCCACCTTGCTTTATTCATTTGCACATTTAAACGTCAGACACCTTGTTGAGATTAGTTGCTCAGTAAGCCTGTCTTGGCAAAGTGACTCTTCAGGATTGTGAACTTCCAGAAATATCAGCTAAGGAGGTCTAACTAATCCCCCCCTATTTTATTTGAATCAAAAATAAATATTATAAATTAGCTTGCTGGACTAAAATGAGTAGTTGGTTGTGTGGTTGTCAATCCGACCTTAATGGAAAGCCCTGTAAAATGAGAGAGATTGTTACATTATGCTGTTTCACATTCATGTGTAGTTTTGGTAGTAGTATTGGTTGAAATGTTGGGATTACACTAACAATATGAACCCTAACTTCTGGTACCATCTGAAAATGTATTTATTTGTTGAGAACTGTAAACATCTAGAGACAATTTTAGTCAATGAAGTCGCTGTCAAATGTTTACTTAACACAAGAAGCTGCACAAGTTCACAGAATATGCAATGTCAGCTTGAAGGCCTTTGTTTCTGCTTTATTGTAAAGTTAAAATGAGCTGCATTCATTCTGCTGATCACTTGTTTCCATGCTCTATTTTCAGGATAATGGCTGAAGGATAACAACCAAGGAGTCACATTCCCTCAACCCATAGTGACCCCACTTCCCCCTTTTTACTTTTGCAACCTCCCTTTGCTGGACTTGTTTGAGTGCTGTCTCTGCTCATTGCCTTGTCTCATTGGGATTTCATGGAATTCATGAATTCCACAGCAGAATTATGTGAATTCATCTTAAACTGCAGAGTCCCCTTTCTTAACACCCTCCTGGACAAAAGAGAAGATGATTCTAAAGTTTGAAATAATTGCAATGTGACTCGAAATCAAAATTCTACCCATCTGAGATTGCCAACTTGGTCAGCACATTTTTCAATCTGGTTTCATCAATTTCCCTATTTGCGGCCTTACATATCCCTTTTCTTGTGACGTTGGGCCATGGTTCGCAAAAAAGGTTCTCTAATACTATGCGGTGCTTTCCTGTTTGTTGCCTGGAATGCTTTGCTTCTACTTTATCTTTGGGGTCGCCCTCCCATCGGCCGCCCCGGAGAAGGTGGAGGAGCCGAACCGGGAGGAAAGGAGGAGTGGGGCGTGGGAAGAGGGAAAGGAGGCCAGGTCAATCTAGCTGGAGAGGTGATCAGACTGGCAGAGGAAGTCGAAATCCAACTTGAGACGCAGAAAAAGCTATTGAAGCAGATTGAGAGTCACAGGGCTGTGTGGGCTCGACAGAAAGATGTTGGGAAAAGACAAACAGATGATACAAAAGAAGTCAAAGAAGAGGTTGTCAACCAGCCATCAAAGCCTCCACTTCCTGTCAAGGACAGTGTAGATGAACGGACCCAAACTAATGTACAACTCACACAGAAGCCTGTTCATACAGTAGCCCCAAACTCTAAGTTAGAACAGCACCAGGCCACTGAAATAAAGGAAGAAGTTGCTGAGAAGAATCATTTGCCAACTTCTGTTGCCAGCCCACAGGTTGTCATTCCCATTCTAGTTATTGCTTGTGACAGGGTAACAGTTAAACGGAGCCTCGATAGACTGATACAGTACCGCCCTTCCCCACAACTATATCCAATCATTGTCAGCCAGGACTGTGGCCACGCCGAGACTGCTCGTGTGATTGGCTCATATGGAGATAAAGTGACGCACATAAGCCAGCCGGACCTTTCGGACATCAGAGTCCGGCCAGAACACAGGAAGTTCCAGGGCTACTACAAAATTGCCAGACATTACCGCTGGGCACTCAACCAAGTGTTCAACACCCTTTCCCAGTCTACTGTGGTCATAGTGGAGGATGACCTGGAGGTGAGTGCTCTCAGACTTTTTTCGCAGTTTCTTCACACTTCGCCTTGCATCCTAGTGTAAGGTCTGTAGAAATCCGCAGTCATCAATCACCACTGGATTCACCATGAGCGAGTGTTACATGACGCTTCTAAAACGCGACGGACACAAACATTTATAAATATCTCCCAGCAGTGTCATACATGTAGAAGTAACAGACGAAGATGTCAAGAGAGTTTGTGGTGGTAAGAGCTGACGACGGTGTTGGGGTGCTGTAAACAAAATCACGTGATCTACGCAGCAGTGTTAATATGTCACTTCATGCCTATGCCTGCTGCACCCAGCTTCTCCACCTCTCACCTGAAAATTGGGGAGGATTTGATGCTTTTGTGAACGTGTTTCTGCAGAGAATCTCCAGCTGCGTTGTCCATGTGTGAAAGGCAGTCATGTCTGAAAAGAGCTTTAGAGACACAAAGGGAAGAACAAACTGTTAGAAGTAGAATAGAATAGAAATAAAAAGTGCGTCAGCAGCAGGAAATGACTTACAGGAAATTCTGACTACAACCAAGAGCTTGAGGGAGAAACTTTGCCCCATAAAAGAGCAATTATTTTGTCAGTGAGTGGGGAAAATCTGGGTTTACTTACATAACTGTTCTCCACTGGTTTTCTTTTTTTTTTTTTATTAAGAACAACTCAAAGACCAAGTCCCTCTGTTTGTTTGGCTAATCTCTCTTTAAACAGACAACGATAAAAGTAAATTTCAACCAGGGACATTGCAATTACACAGACAGTTTTTCAACCCCTACTCCACTAGGTTACCCGACATATTGGAAATAGAGAATTAAGATTATATGGATCGAAGGTTTCCATTTCCCCTATAAACTTTTTACAGTTTTCTCATGAGCAGCTACAAAAGTAAAATTCTCCTTAGACTACACTACACTACAATAATAATGCATCAGTATTACCATTCTACCAATTTGATACAATAACGACTTTATTGACAGAAACAAATGACCAACCCTACTTTTAAATGGCACTATTGTGGTGGTCTGCCTTGCAAGTCTTTGTGTCGCTGCACTGAATGCACTGCATGATGGACGGGAGTCAAACAACGTTACTTTCATTGACTGAAAATGTAAAGAAGTTCAAGCTGTAGAGCAGACAAAAAAATCCTGTTTGGAAATACTTTGGATAAGGGTGGCCTCGACCCAAAGATTTGTCTAATCAACTAGTCAGTTTCTCATAATGTTTATTATTTTAATGACCTTCTTTTAATAATATCAATATTGGTTGTATACATCATTTTTATTTGCAAATGTGAGTGAAACGGTGACACTGTTGAGCCCTGTTGTTGTTGTTAAAAGCCAAAACTATGAAAAAAAACTATCCAAATATATACATATAATACTGTAATTAATATTTTAAGGACTACAGGCTGTTTGGTAAGCAGAGTCGGATTAATTTATGTTTACAATTAAGATAATTGTAAGCTTTAATTGAACAGGCCAAAATAAGAGTTGAAATTAAGAATGCCCTCGATACAAATTATTTCCTCCTTTTGATTGGACTGTACCTCTCAAGAAGCAGCATCTCACCACTGTAAATCTCTCTTCTCTCTTCAGGTGGCACCGGATTTCTTTGAGTATTTCCAAGCTCTGTACCCAATTTTACTTGCTGACCCTACCCTGTGGTGTGTTTCTGCCTGGAACGATAACGGTAGAGACGCCTTGGTGGATCCATCTAAGGCTGATCTCCTCCATAGAACAGACTTCTTTCCCGGGCTTGGCTGGATGTTGCTAAAGAAAATGTGGGATGAACTCGAACCCAAATGGCCCTTGGCCTTCTGGGATGACTGGATGCGTCAACCAGAGCAGCGCAAGGACCGCTCCTGTATCCGCCCAGAAGTCTCACGGACTATCACCTTTGGCCGTAAAGGCGTGAGTTTAGGTCAATTCTTTGACCAGTACCTTCGTTATATTAAGCTAAACACTCAATTTGTGCCTTTTACAAAACAGGATTTGTCTTATTTGTTAAAGGAGAAGTATGATGAAAAGTTTATCAAAGAGGTTTACAGTGCACCACTGGTGAAAATTGAAGAACTGCAGCAAGGGGGCAGCTTAAGAGGCCCCGGACCATACAGGGTGCAGTACTCCAGTCGGGACAGTTTTAAAGTCTTTGCTCGAAATCTTGGGGTGATGGATGACTTGAAATCTGGAGTCCCTCGTACAGGTTACAGAGGCGTAGTCAGTTTCCTGTACCGAGGCCGAAGAGTGCTCCTGGCTCCACCAGAGGGATGGATACAGTATGACATCAGCTGGAGCTGAGAGTCTGATTCAATACAATGTGAAAGAGGGGAGAGAGCCTAACTCAGAGGAACTCTCTGAGACCAAAGAATATCAGCTGACGCAGTAGTTCATGAAGGGAATGAAGCAGCACAGATGGGGCTGCACATCAGTGGAGCTGCAAGATCAAGTGTTGACCCAGGACCCTTTGTCAGGGAAGGTTCTATAATAGGGTGCTCATTCAGGATCAGTAGGTCCAGGGCCACACAGAACTCACATGGAGTTCAAACTTGTAGGAAAAGTCCACCCTTAAACACTGTTTCAAAAGAGCTATTGGCAATGTGCCTTGCTTTATAGGCCCACTTCGTTTGATGTATTTTTATTTCTGTGAAAACTGGCCAAATGTAGAGTTAACATCACATTGTTGCTTTTTGCAGCAGTTGTAAATGAAGGGTGTTGCAGAAAATGAATAGAATCATCAACAACAAGAAGAGCATGTTTCAAAGTCAGTGATAATCTCCACACACCAGAAGACACAACTTTGGAGAAAAAAACAATTGCGTAATGTTTTTGAAAATTCTTGAAATTGTCCCAACTCTCTACGTCATGTTTCTTGGTTTAAGTCTACAAAACTGATCAGAAACAGAGTTGTGTGCAAAGGATATTAAAAACTTCTACCAGGTTTTATGTGATAAACAACGGCCATATCCACCACTGAACTGAGTCATCATAGCCCTGATGGTTATCATTATAGGAGACAGGCTTCCTCATCAATGATAGATTGTAGAAATTGCAAAAGAAGCAGACAAGAACTTCCCGAAGTGCAATAGCTTGGATCCAGCATGATCAAGCTGCAAAATGCTGTCCATTCTGTATCACTGTCAAAGTCACTGAGCAGCTCATAAAATCTGTCGGGAAGGATGTTGGAAAGTTCAGCAGATTCTAAGAAAACTAAGATGGGGACGATCAAAGTCAGATGAAAGCAAAATATTCAGCACAATGATTTGGTCTGAAGGGTCTCCTCTATTGAAGTCAGTACAAATCCTGCATTATCTTTTTACTAACAAGGTTCTGAGAACTACAGAAAGAAGTCAACAGTTTTATTCTGTACTTTTGCTGTAAGCACCAAGAGCACTGCCAGGACAACATCATGAACCGTCTTTGACTGTACGTGATTTGTATTGACTGTAATTGTTGAGACCTTTGATAACATGGTTTTGTTACTTTACAGCTGTCTGTTGTCATTTCCCCCTACCTTATAGATTGTTTAGAAGATTACCTACCATCAGATGAGAGCATATATTTAACATTTGTCCTGTAAGTGCTCAGTGACTGAGATGTCTGAGTTCCAAGAGATATTAACTGGACAGTGATGTGTGATGTGGTCCTGAATCAGGGCTACACCTACAGTGGCATTACGAGAGGATACCTTTGGAGCTATTGGTAATGGAAGTAATACATTGAAGTACATGAAAATGAAGATGCCAGAAAGCAAGAAAAACTGAATGACATAATAAAATGGTCTAGATGTTTTTTGCTACAGGACAAGTAACAGATGTTTAACAGTGTGGGAGCATCAAGGGCAGAGTTTTTCTTGAATTTTCAGCACTACTGTTCTCAGGCTACGTCCACATTAATATTATTTGGTTTTAAAACACTTGTGAGTTTTTAATCCTCTAAAATGAAGAACTTTTAGAACTGGCCCTGTTTTGATACGAAAACTCCCGGCTCCTGTGTTTTAGTCTGATCAGGCTGGAACAGACATTTTGAAACAATGATTTGCTTCTTGATTGGATCATAAACTTGACTTGACTACCAGCAGTTATGGAAAGAATTGCTTAGGCTGTCATTCTGAGAAAAGAATTTGTTGCTTTTACTATAATAAATAGTTGCTTTAAAACTAATATGCATTAGTATGGATGTTGCCTTAGATCAGTTAATGAACATGGCTTTGAAAGCAGTGTGACGACAGTGCACAACATTAATCAAAGGAGATAGATGATCTTATCGTATTAGGGCCTTGGTATGCTTCAAGTCAAGTTGAACAGATGACATTTATATATAAAGATAAATCCTTACCCTATCCCAATTCCTTTCCAGTCTGTTCAACATGGGTGTGATTGACTTTTTGTCACTTTCAGAAAGTTGCAGAATTGATCAAACACAGCTACTTCAATTCTGCTGTCAAAGGTTGGCAGACACCACTAGATGACCTGATCAACATTTTGTTTGAAGCATACTGAGGCTGTAAAGTTCATCTGCTGCTCTTCATATTTGGATGAAGGTCTTTGGATCTCTTTTTATGTCTTAAATGATTATGTTTATGAGCAACCCAGTTTAAATTCGATGAAGAGAAATGTTTTGCTGGTGGAAATACAATATTCATTTTTCAGCTCCTTTTGATTTCAGAAGGTTGTGGAACCACACCTCTGTTTGTATGGATAAACTTGGTGTTTAAATATGTTGAAGGAAATTGTTAATATGAAGGAAAAAACTATAATGGAAAGTTTGTTTTAAAATTATTTAACTCTCAAGAACTTGAAGTTCTAACAAGTTTGCCAAGCTGCAAATGAGATTCAGACATCACTGAGTCAAACATTTGACTGATGATCACCCTAGAGGCAAGTTGTAACTACATGACATCCAAACCATGGTTTGGTCAGATTAGGTTTGTTGAAAAACCAATGATTGTTTGATTTGTATTTGTTTCTGCAACATGAAGGCCGAGAAATGATTATCACTGTACTGTAATTAGCTTTGGGAGGTCATCAACAAGATTGATTGATTCCCATGTCTGTATGGTGATGTGTAAAACCACTGCCTGATGTGTTTATAACTTTAACACATGTTAAAGGAGTCACTCTTTCATTGACAGAAGTAATTTATCTTTGAAATCTGCTGTACCTCATGTCATGTTTATCTTTGTCTGTTGAAAACAATATACCGCAATCATTCACAGCAACTTGGTGCTGAATAAGGTCTGTGTGTGCATGTGTGCAAATAATGCAGTTATGTATTCTTAACAAATTTGGCGGGAATATTACTTGGGTAGGGTATCAGATGATTAACTCCTGCAGCTGATTATTTATGTGCCTTTGACCACGACTCTGACGTACACTTGGATGACATCACAGGAGCAGTATGTAGGTTATTTTATTTTAAATTTAAACAATTGGTTGATATGTACTTCAGTTCTATTGGATTTGTCTGCAGCGCAGTTTACCCCTAAAACTCCAGAACTGTTTTGTGGACTCAGACACTTCACCCACCTCTCCATCGGCATTGTGTAGAGTAGATAATGAGTAAGTGTTCATTTTTTGGTAAACTATCCCTTTAATCCTTAACACATATCTTGCAGGAGCAGGCAGTTTCCATTTTCCAAAATGGACTGTGATTTAATTAGCAGCATGAGCTTTACACTGTTCTTGTATACGGTGTGCACAGCAATACGCTTCCATTAAATTGTGACAAATTTAAACTATATGTAACATTTGATACATTAAATAAATAAATCAGATTAAATCGAAGACTGATATGCATAAACTGCATTGCTCTTTTTAATCAAAACCTTATATTAAAGCAGCACTATGTCACTTTACGAAGTGATAGTGCCCCATGCAGCAAAGTGTAGTGATTCATTCTGTTGGGCTCTGTGTCAAACTGATTAACGGGTTCTTTAATGAAGAGAAAAAGCAAAGCATATTAATCTCTTGAGCTGAGCTCAAACTTCGTATCATCCCCCTCACTGAATAGAAACACATCTCAACGGTGGATATTACCCATGACCTCTGGCGTCCTGAACCAGAGGAGCTGCTGCAACAAATATGTCAAACTCTGTTTAGAATTTAGAAGTTTCCTCGCTGAATATTGGAGATTTTCTCCGTTTTTTTAAGGATGTTTAGGTTGTTTTTTCCAGAACGATTGAGGCCGGATCAGGTTCGATGTGGATATTGAGAATACCGGAAAGTATAACTTAAACTTTCTATTTTAGGACACAGAGCAAAGCTTGCCTCTGCTATAATGCATTTCTGGTGAGATGTCAAGAAACATCTTGTGAAGTTTAAATTTGAAATAATGGAGTCAGTAGGTAAACCAGAACTAAATGAAAGAGCAGTGTCAGTAGGTGTTCACAGAGGTATCAGTGCAAAACACAAAGACTCTTTTAATTTGTGTAAAAATGTTTAACATCATTATAAAACTCTGAAGGGACAAGTACAGTACATATAATAGCTCACAACATAACTGCGGGAAATGCATTGCCCTTCTGATGCTTTTTATTCTTATTATATTAAGTTTCATTTAAATATAATTTTTACATCCCAAGACACCAAGAAAGCACAAATAAGAAAAAGTAAGGTTTGCAAAAAACCAAAAGCAAGAGAAAAAGTAAAAGCCTTAGGAATGGGTACAGTTCAGCAAATGAATCCTAACCCTAATTAAAACATGAGGTTCGCTCTGTAAAAACCGTTGGCATCTGTAGCATAATCCAATCATTTCAATGTTTGATGGAAGTCCACAATAAAAGACAGCAGTGAGGAGCCGTAAGGCTGTGAAAGAGCTTCAGATGGATAGGGACCCAGCTTAACACAGAGAGAGAGAGAGGGCCATGATAATTAACATGAACATGATATTTAAGTTATCCAGATTCCAAGGTACTTATACTCTGTGACTCTTTCAATATTTGTATTATTCATGGTCAAAATGATGAGATTGTTATAATCAACATTTTGGCTCCTGTGAAGAACATGAATTTTAGTTTTCTCAGCACTAAGAACTAATTTTATGCATTTAATATATTAATATAATGTTATTAATAAAAACACAAGCGGTATCATCATCTATAACTGCAAGCAGAACAGGCTCCATAAAAGGACCTTGTAGGACACCTTTTGAAATCTGTACAAAATCAGATTTAACATTTATAGTGGCCACCCACTGCTCTATGTCTTTGAGACAGCTCTGAAACTGTTTCAAGTCAATGAAAAGAGTAGTACAGTGTTTCTCCTGTCCAAAGCTGAAATCATGTCGATGAAAACCTGACAACTCTATACTTAGGATAGACTTCAGCATTTAAACAAATCCACGTTTGTTTGCTTAAATCGAAACAAAATAACTCCTCCCACCTGTAGGGGGACTCCAAGTAGACCTGACAGCAATTCTTTTTCGATTTTGACGCTTGAGTGATTGCTTTGTCCAGGAGTTAGCATTCTGTATGAGTATAATGTATACTGTATGTACTCTGGACTTTATTCTTTTTGCGAGAACATAGGGATGGAATCAAAGAATAACCAGTAATAAATGTCATATGGTGTAAGAGCTCAAACCAACATAAGGCCTCACAAATTCCAATTCACCATAATATGGTAAAATGGGTTTAATATCTTGCAAAAGGACACTTTAGCATGCGGAATGGGTAAGACTGGGCTCAAACCGACGACCTTCTGGTTAGAGGAAAGCTCTGACTCCTGAGCCACAGCTGCACTCTTATATACAAACATAATGACTCACAGTCAGTAAGTAAACACTGCAGGGCTACAAATAAGAACTAGTGAATAAGGGAACAGACAACATACCTTTCTAATTGTGATGGTGGATCATGATCGTGGTGGCAGCCGATCATAGATTATAATTACAACAAGACTGCTTGATATACAATATGCCTACTCACACATTCTACCATCACTGGCAACAACTCCTCCATTTCATTTGTCATTGCTGCTCCCATGATCTCTATCAGACATTTCTCATGTATAAATAAATATTGTAATTTTGTTGATGTGCTGAGTTGCAAGCAGCTTATATTGCACTTCTGTCCATCCTGTTGCTGTCTCTGAGTAGTTTGTTCTTAATCTTGTTGAGGGCTACGTAAAAAGCATGTCACACCTTCTTAAGCCCTATGAGAAACATCGGATTTATGAATATGGGCTACACAAATAAAATTTGATTGATAATCAAGAACATGTCGATGTAGGCGGAGGGATTTACTAATTGTGCCTTTTTGAAGAAAACTGCAGGGTGAGCAGCTCTGCAAGCTCTGAAAACTGTCTTCAAACTCATAGAAAATGTAGGAGAAGTTACTCCAAACAATACAATGTTGTAATAATCTCTACACTTGAAGGACAACAATAAAAACCAAGCCATGAAGCCAAGTTTTATAGATGTAGTTAGAACACAGGCAGACTTTCAAGCCCTTGAAATTCCTATTCAACCCATAAGGGGGAGTAGGAACACCAGTTGTGGGGAGGTTCGATGCAAGCCAGAGCCTAGTGTGTTGTATTGCGTAATTTACACGTCAGTCCTGTGGGTTGTTTTTTGTGTAGGGAAACAAGCTCAAACAGTATATTCACAATACATGGGGACAGCAGACTGAACAGTCCTGCAGCACATCCAGGTTCTTTTCAGCTCCACATCTTTTAATCTCTGATCTCCAGATGTGTACTGTGGTTGGAGGGGCAATGAAAGAGACAAAGCTAATTTAGGGCTCAGGATTTGAAGATGATGATGCCTTTTAGGGAGAAAATTAAAAAGGTTTGACATGACCATGTTGTATGATGTGTACTTTAAAAATAGTATTAAATGATTTGTTTGTTCCAACACAAAAAACTGCCAGGTGATATTTGTTGTGGAAAGTCTGCTGATCAATTGTCACCTCATCAATGAAGAAAGCGTTCAGGAGCCCTTTGATGTTTTATGCTGAAATATTTATTGACGCTTGGCCAAGGAGAAAATCAGAATTCATCCATACAACATCTGTGCATGATGCTCTCTCATATTCTGAAGTCTGCTTTCCTGCAGTCACACTTTAAACCCCAACAGATCATTTAATCTATGGGTCTGCTAGTTCCAAAACAATCAAATGTATTTTCTAGTTATGGAGAAAGTAGTGCCTGCTTACACAGTCTCATATCTGTGATGTCTAGGGAGTGAAGGCTTTGACCTTCGCCAAGCTCTCGCACTTCCCAAACACAACAGCCTGGTCCACTCTGCCCCAGAGAGGACAAGAGACAGTGTCTATGAAAATTCCATAGCAATATTCACTTGCTCCTAAACAATGATGAGAGAGACCAAAGTCTTTTTGATTTTACTGAACAACCACCGTATCAGAAGTGAGCTCTTGAGACTTGTGTGAAGCAAAATAACATCAGGGGCATGGTGTTAAATGTGTGGGAGAACTGATGCACTTCCTGACCAACCAATAGGCATGTGAATATTGACAGGCCTCAGCAACTACTACTTGAAAGGTGTTTTTCCTTTTTATATGTGTGTATACATATTCACATGTTAACACTTCCCATTAGTGTACTATGTAGGAATGTTTGGTGGCACTGGAGATGTCACTGTTGATTATTTCTTTATTTTTACATTCAATATAATTCGAGGAGGATTTTTGGTAACTGTGCACACACCACAAGAAACTAAGTTGAAGGTTGGTGGTCCGATCCCCAGTTCCTAGAGTCAATATGCCAAAAAGCTCTTGGGCAAGACATTGAATCCTGTAGTAGTAATATAGTAGTTTGTGAGTGTGTGGGTGAATAGGTGAATATGAGTTGTAGAAGCACTTTAAGTGGTTGCTAAGACTAGACAAGTTTACTATCCTTGTACAACAATGTACAGACTCCCTGTTCCAGTGCACGGGACCCTTTCCTAACCCTAACACTGAAGTGGTACAGGGTATTATAGGACATTTTACCTCTGTACCCCCTAAAGCTGGTATAAGTTGGCAGCATTGACTCTGGCAGTCTGATCGTAACTTCGTCCATGCAGTTATGGAAAAGTCACAGACGAGCCAACACCTTCAACTTTTTCAACTCTTCATCAGGGTCTAAAGTACAGATTTACAAAGAGAT